GAAAGAGAGTGTGTGTTACAGCTGGGACAGAGAACAGATTGTGTTAAGTCATTGGGACGGTTGTAATATTACCACTATCCACTGTGAAAGAGTGTGTGTATTACATCTGGGACAGAGAACAGATTGTGTTAAGCCTTTAGGACGCTTGTAATACTACCGCTTTCAAGTGTGAAAGAGTGTGTGTTACATCTGGGACAGAGAACGGATTGTGTTAAGTCATTAGGACGGTTGTAATACTACCACTGCCCACTGTGAAAGAGAGAGAGAGAGAGAGAGAGAGAGAGAGAGAGAGAGAGAGAGTGTGTGTGTGTGTGTGTGTGTTTGTGTGTGTGTGTGTGTGTGTGTCTGTGTGTGTGTGTGTGTGTGTGTGTGTGTGTTTGTGTGTGTTACATCTGGGACAGAGAACAGATATGTTTACGCCATTAGGACGGTTGTAATACTACCGCTATCCAGTATGAAAGAGTGAGATTTACATCTGGGATAGAGAACAGATTGTGATAAGTCATTAGGACGGTTGTAATACTACCACTGTCCACTGTGAGAAAGAGTGTGTGTTGCAGCTGGGACAGAGAACAGGCCATTCAGTATGTCCTCAACTACACAGCCTTCACCTACGCTACAGCTGCGACTGAGATTGACCGCTACATCACCTGGCCAGGGCAGGCCCTCACCTACAAGATAGGTGAACTGAAGATCCTGGAGCTGAGGAAACGGGCAGAGCAAAGACTTGGTAGGAGGAGTTTGTTGAGAATCTTGAATACAGTTTTATACGACTTTTTGAGCTGAGTAATTTCCATTATTACGACCAGTTTTTTTCAGTTACGACCAGTTCTATGTCATCCTCAAGTGTTTGGTTGCTGCAATTATTTAGAGGACTATTTACTCATAGATCTCGTAAAATAACGTAAATGAGAAGGTGTGTTCTGCACACGAGATGACGTTTTGCACGCGGAGGGATACTAGGATATCCTAGCGGTCGTCTGGCTTACATTTGGGGAAACTGATACGATTTGTAAATGTGGATAATAACAAAACTGACCCAATCAACATTTGGTATTACGGATAATATGTCCCTCTTGAATTTAGCGTGTATTATGTGTAAAGGTTAATTTCACTCGTATCATGTCATGTGAAATTCCTCGTAGTCATTCTCTAATTACACACGTGGTACTACTTGAACAGATATTAAAACAAACTTATGTGTATTAACTTGTGCATGGAATTTGTTTGGTTGATACCCGAACTTTTACCTTCCCAGTTCTACATTTGATTCATTCATAAGTTTCATCAAATGTACACAATAATGGATATCCTATAAAGTTGGTAAATTCATACGTTTCATCAAACAAGAATGGATAACTCATCAAGTTGGTTCATTCATTAAAACACAGTTGTGTACGCCAAGCATTTGTGTACATAAATAGAGATATCCTGAATTACATACACGTTTCATATACAATTTAATGTTATAGGTCTTGTTTGATCTAAATTGAATTAAATGTAGTATCGCCTACTGCCTGATCGTGTACATACATGGCATATCAAAGAGAATCGATCATGACAATGGGGCTCATGGACACAAAATGAAACTAGGCAAACGCTGACCTACTGCACTTTGTGTGGTTTAAGGTAGAATACATGAGCGTGTCTCTCTGCGTGTCACACCTGTCGCAGCGCACACTAAGCCAGGAACCAGACAGGAAGTGACAATTGCAAGTGAATCGTGGCATCACATCTACGCTGTGCCACCTATAGCCTTTACCAATGCATGTGTATTTCTCACAGATAATTGTATTCCTTGGGTTACTCAAGCTGCACCCACTCAATATTGGTTAAATATTTAAATAATTTGAACAACAAATGTTTAAAATACAAAAATATATGTTTCCAGGGAATCAGTTTAACGTCCGGGATTTTCACGCTGTAATTCTTGAGAACGGGAGGATGCCTCTGAATGTCTTGGAGGAAATTGTCGACGATTGGCTGGAGAACTACGTTCCCATGACAACGGAAACACCCACTGTCTGCAGTAGTGCTGAGTCGCATGGGAGAGTGCTGTCTCTGGTTCTTGCAGCACTGTTCTTGCCAGTCATACTCCGCAGTAACTTCTGAATGTATCAGAAGTAAACTAATCAGATAATCGTTTTTTTCTGTACATAATTTAAATAGCTGCAACTTCAAATACATACCACACCAACTGCTTCACATTTCCTGAATCACTGGCTTGTGTCCATTTGCAATGTTAATTTCAAACGTTGATACGATTTGCGCATTATTTTTATGAGGATTAAACAACATTAACGTTTCTGGTTTTACCAGTCTCCAACCTCGAAACATTATTTCATGAACTCTTTAACTGACTCTTCAATTTACTTGTATTAGGTCAAATGTCTCAAATATGTTAGCGATTTCCGCTTTCTATATATATATTGCTATATAAAATAACCCTCATTTAATCGTGCCGTGTATTAATATTTTGACGAAAATATTCTTTTTTATTTACAAAGTCAAACACTCGCAATGAAAAACAGAAAGCTATTATAAAATGTAAATACAAAAGAACAACCAGACTCGATCATCCGCCGAAAAAGATTCTACCTGGCGTAAAGGGCAAAATAGCTGTGGAAATTATGTGAATGGACCACTGTAAATCAGTAAATGTAACCATCGCCCCTATCTCCTCCTCTATTGAATTACTACGTATACATCATCAAGTACTTGTGACGTATTCAGAAACATACAGTGTTCTGCAACCAGGGTTTCAGCAGGTATCATGCCTATCCTAAACATGATTAGAAAAGGGAAGATCTGGATGTTAGTATATCATGACGAAGACGAATTGATGCCTATCGTGGGGTAGGTGTGTATGGCAATATGTTTGCTGGCACGGCATATTGGAATTATGTGTACAATTCAGTGTACTGAGCAAGGGGAAGGCAGGGGAATTCATCATCCGTAAAATACCTAATCTGTGCATGAAAAATATATAGATCTTTGCTTTGTTTTTATTTTTAAAAAGGTTGGACAACAGATATTATTGATATATCTTATTGATATTTAATAGGGCTTCTTAGACGAATCACATGTAACTGAAAAAAACTAAAATTAATAAAACGCTTGGCAGTCAGAAGTATTTTTTAGCTTCCTATATATCTATTTTGAGTCCTTGTATTTTTATCCTACAATGTCTGTAGACAGATATTTGTGTTCTATATTCTGCTACTACAATAAAAGTGAACATGACATGGCAATTTGTGATTTGTTTTTTAATACATGTAGTTTAATAGGTGTACTAGTCGATTGTGTGAGTTGAACAACATTTCAGTCATGTCACGGCATGGCTGTTTAATGTGGGAGGAAGGTCTGAAGTGACGCAGGTCTTAGAAGTTTCCCTCTTGGTGAAGTCGACGAGAATGTGTGGTGCTGACGCAAATAGAAACACAATCAGGGCGAATCTGGGAATCGAATCCACAAGACAGGTTTCTGGCATGCCCAAGGAGCGCAACTCTGCCCCAGTAATAATAATAGTAGTGGTAGTTGTAGGGGTAGTGGTGGGTAGTGGTGGGAAGTGGTGGTTGTAGTGGGAATGGGAGTGGCGGGCGTTTTCGTAGTAGTACGCCAACCAAACACAACACGTCGACTTGATAGGACCGGGCAATCCGTAACGTTGATTGCGTATGTTATGTGTAGGGTAAAACACGTCCGACGGTTTTTATGAGATTTGAAAATCCCATCCGAGGTTTTATCCTTAGGGTGATAGTTTTTAATCTAATACAACACAGAGGCGGTAATTTATCTCACTCTCATAAACTGAATGAAAAACGTGAAACAACATTTATCTACAATTTTATTTCAAACACCATTTCTATGAACCTTAAGAAACGGAAGTAAAATATATCTTGCTGATATACATGTAGTTTAAACAACGATTTTTAAAAAACATTGGGATTTATGCATGTGTGTGTGTGTGTGTGTGTGTGTGTGTGTGTGTGTGTGTGTGTGTGTGTGTGTGTGTGTGTGTGTGTGTGTGTGTGTGTGTGTGTGTGTGTGTGTGTGTGTGTGTGTGTGTGTGTGTGTGTGTGTGATATTGGTGGAGGAATATTTTGTGTGTTAAATCGAGTGGAATTAAATTGTGCCACAGCCTGGATTTTATAAATAATATATATTCAAATATAAATATGAGTATGTATGTTTAAACGTGCACTCCATGCAGGATCATACTCCCATGAACTGAAGGTCAATTTCTATAAGTTCTTGTATCACTATTTTATACCTCGAGGGATGTAGCGTAACATGACTTCATGTTTACTCTCACAGCCTTACAACAACCTGCTGTATCGCGGAAAAAAATAGTTCCACAAAAGGAGAGGTGATATGAGCGTATGTATGCTCAGCGTCCTTTACAAGAAGGTCGTTTGTTTACAAGAAATGAATTCAAATATTATCATCCTTGGTGTGAGACAGGTCTGTTAAGAGCTACCTCAATACGTCAGTCACAATGACAGCGCGTCGTAATATATTTATATCAAGTACAAGCCGACACGATAAACGTTCCTTGAATGATATCCGTGTGGGTAAATCAACCCTTGGCGGTTACATGTGTTATTCATCATTGATCAATTTGGCGATCATTGAAAGAAGATTATAAATATGTGTCAAGTAGATACTAAAATATAGATAACTGTAAACTGTCACTGTGAGTCTGGACACGATCGAGTCGATACTACCAGTGGATGTGCATTTCTACGTTTTGTTCAGTAGGATGGGCTACAGGGAGGATATAAGTGAACGATAATGCAGGCAAACCTTCCTACGTTTCTCAATGTTTGCTAAAACGCCGACATCAAGATTAAATGTCTTCCAAACAAGGTGAAAATGTATTGCATTCATTTGCAAATAGATACATTTTCCAATGAGATGTTATGGTATATGACTATGTGATTATATGGTATGGTATATGACTATGTGATTATATGTCAGTTTTCATATCATATCCCATATCAACCCTCGATCCACATAGCACCTCTCTGGCCTTCGGCCCTCGGACTGATATTGGGGTCTCGGGTTGATATAGGGGTCTCGGGCTGATATAGGGGGCTCGGGCTGATATAGGGGTCTCGGGCCGATATATATAGGGGGCTCAGCTTGATATAGGGGGCTCGGGCTGATATAGGGGGCTCGGGCTGATATAGGGGGCTCAGCTTGATATAGGGGGCTCGGGCTGATATAGGGGTCTCAGGGGGATATAGGGGGCTCGGGCTGATATAGGGGGCTCGGACTGATATAGGTGGCTCGGGCTGATATAGGTGGCTCGGGCTGATATAGGGGGCTCGGGCTGATATAGGGGGCTCGGGCTGATAAAGGGGGCTCAGGCTGATATAGGGGGCTCGGGCTGATATAGGGGGCTCGGGCTGATATAGGGGTCTCGGGCTGATATAGGGGGCTCGGGCTGATATAGGGGTCTCGGGCTGATATAGGGGCCTCGGGCTGATATAGGGGGCTCGGGCTGATATAGGGGGCTCGGGCTGATATAGGGGACTCGGTTTGATATAGGGGGCTCGGGCTGATATAGGGGGCTCGGGCTGATATAGGGGGCTCAGGCTGATATAGGGGGCTCGGGCTGATATAGGGGGCTCGGGCTGATATAGGGGTCTCGGGCTGATATAGGGGGCTCGGGCTGATATAGGGGGCTCAGCTTGATATAGGGGGCTCGGGCTGATATAGGGGTCTCAGGGGGATATAGGGGGCTCGGGCTGATATAGGGGGCTCGGACTGATATAGGTGGCTCGGGCTGATATAGGTGGCTCGGGCTGATATAGGGGGCTCGGGCTGATATAGGGGGCTCGGGCTGATATAGGGGGCTCGGGCTGATATAGGGGGCTCGGGCTGATATAGGGGTCTCGGGCTGATATAGGGGCCTCGGGCTGATATAGGGGTCTCGGGCTGATATAGGGGCCTCGGGCTGATATAGGGGGCTCGGACTGATATAGGGGGCTCGGGCTGATATAGGGGGCTCGGGCTGATATAGGGGACTCGGTTTGATAGAGTTTGGATATGAAAACAGCCATTTAAATACAACTAAGTAAAATATCCGCATTATCAATACAGAAAGAACACCAGCTCACCGATAATGTTATGCAACAACATTCATTATTAAAAAAATAATATAATTTCTTCAATAAATGGAAGGTTATATATGATCATTAGCGAGAAACACCATCGATAAAATACAGTGGCGTTTGGACTGTGAGTATCATAGATAAGGATATACAAGGGTCGAGTAATTACTAAATAAGGCGTGGCTATGATATGCCTCTGAGTACTCCGATGTCCTGGGTTGCAATCCATTAAAATCAGATCTTACTTCTCGCTGACGCTAAATAAGTGAGAAACTTGGTCTGATCTTAATGAGATTGTCCAGGGTTGTTTCTGATACTGAAACACAACGTCCACTCACTGCCTCTTTACCCCTGCATGATTGAGCACTGCTTCTCCTCAATCAATACCATCACAGACTCCTGAAGTGAACGTACTGGGGGATATCATAACTGCTGTGTCGTGCGCTTTAATTATTTTTCCCATAGCCCCTCTTGCTTTTCAGTGTACTTATTCCATCTGTTCTCCAGAGGCCCTTTGATATTATATCTGGTTAAAAGGATGGTGACCCTTCATTTCATTCGATAACATTAAAAGAACCGAATAGCATAGTGACCGGGCTTTCTCTTGCCTAAAGCTTTTCAACATACTGTTGTAGATACATTTGTTGGATATGCATATGTAAGAATCGGGTGTTCTTTACCTTCTTTTGAACAGTATATATTTAAATTCTAACCTGATTTATTGAGAGGGTTTTACCATGACCCGCCACGCGCTGACGGCGTGATGGTTCTATAAAACTCAGATAGAGACACATTTTACGCAGAAATCCGTGGATTGTTTTGAAATCCCCTAGGTCTGTACAGTTATTATGTTTAAGAGAAAAAAGTTATAATTTGAATGTGACTGGAAAAAAAATGTCTTCCCTTTCTCATCTCGTGTTATCGCTTTCTGGATTTCTCGTCTCGTGGTATCCCCTTACCGCTTTCTCGCGGCCGTAATTGAAGGCGAGAAAGCAATGTCCCCTCTCGGCACAATACAATCGGCAAACCACATATAACGACTCTCATGAAGGGTTGATTCTGGTAGCCCACCCGAAAAATCTATGGTCTGGTCTCATAGGGTGTAATGCGGCTATTGTTCAGTACCAGGTTTGGGGGGCATCAATGTTGTTATAGGTTCATTGTGTTCAGATCTTTGATTGCAAAAGTCAAAAGCTGTTGACAACCATGGTTTAACCATGAGAAGAGATCTCATTTGAGACCATCTCCGAATAACACGAATTCTTGCAAAGTAAAGTTATTTTCAAGACGTTTGGCATAGTTTCCAGGATTTGAAAGCACCGAATCCTGACAGTTTCCTACACTATTCTGAATTTTAGAATGGAGACATGCCTGTTTCCAAGCATTCGACTGTGACAAAACTCTGACAAAACTTCGTGTGTGTACGATCATTAATTATAGGGTCTGTTACTTAGTGCTACTTCCGCTTATTTGTACCACTGTGTTGCTCTTCTTTTATTGCAAACTGTATATGTTTGAATATCATTTATTGCTTGTTTATTTATCCTTTGATTTTTACATGTAAGGCTGTCTTATCATCGAAAGCTTTTGTGTCTGAATTAGACGTTGGATACTTTGAATCCTCCATTTTTTACTAAAAACAACTCGTATTTGTTTTTCCTTGTAAGGTTTATTTTACCAAATGAATGCAAAGCATTTATTTTGAAAAATGTTCATAATAGGTTTTGGTGGGTTAAATATTGAAGAAAGAGAGATGATGTATGTAGCAGACCATGTATTCATTAAAGTACATGAAAGTATGAAATGTTGATAGTTTTTTCACTACATTTGAAAACCGATTTTAACCCTTACTTTAAAATGGTAATTGCAGTCCAAGATGGTCCGTGTGGTCCTGAAGGTGCCATCAATCACAAACTGCTCGTCCAGTCACAGAAGGCTTCCTACATGTAGCTAGGTGAAGATAAGGGGCCAACTGAAGAAGCGGAGAAGGATGCACATTAACCTACCAGCACTGTCCCCGACTTCCGATGCAATTCCAGTGATATGTTCGCTGCAACTCACTAACAAGTATTACTGAACAGAGTTGTGTATCTGATTTTAAGACACTTGAAAGTTCAAAACACTTGGTAGCTGTCCTTAACTTTATCTATGAGGAGCATCGAATTGCTTTGCTTCGGATACGATTTTTCAAATAAACATAGTTGAAGAAAGATCAAGCTGACCTGGGACTTTTATGAGTGTGGAATGGTAGACGTATATATTTTGTCACATCGCAACATTTCCACTGGGGCATGGATAAGTGATATAAGAAAACGTTGTTACTTTTTCACCTCAGAATGAAAATTCAGGGTCGGCGAGTTATAGGAAACAGCCTTGTATGTAGGATGTGTAAATGAGTAGAAAACTACAGATTTACTTACAGTTCAATACTGATAATGTTGACATGCATAATATAAACCTAAGCATTCCAATGACTTATCTTGTTAACCCTTTGTCAAACATGGAACTTCACACGTGTTGTAATCATTGTAGGACTTGCCGTTAACCGTTGACAAATAACGTGACTAGGTTTCATAAACTGGAAAGTTCATAGGGGAAAATATTGGACCTGTATTTTGTAATCATGTTAGTTGTTAAGATAAGAGTTGATGCATCTTTAATATCTGTATCCTCCGTTTCATTAATTTGCTTCATTTGACCATATTATGCTTTGGTTGATGTCCACAATTCACATCGCTTATCTTGTCCTTTCAATTCAATTTATTGCGATAAGTACCCTGGGCACATTCTCTACCATAGCTTCGTTTTTACCCTGATTCAAATCATGCACCACTAATAATACTTTCACAAGCGAGAGGAAGTCCGAGCTAGCTTAGAGATAGGAGCGTTCCAGGTTGTGACGTCACTACTGTGGTGGCGAATAGGTGCAGGGTGTTTATATCAAAATATGATGGAGATGGGCTATACTGGATAACGGAGGATGTCAAAGCGCACTTTGTCTGAAAATATGGATGAACATTTTCAAGAGGAATTAATTTAGATAAATGAGATGCAGACCCATAAGCAAGAGTGTGTTAACAGTTGTCATGGTTATTGTAGCTGAAAGCGATTTTCGAGGAATGCGAGATCATTAATTTTAACCATGTGATAATTCTTTAGTCAGGCATGTTATTTAGCAGTTCTACGTAAATTGATATGGTTTATGGTTTTGTCATTATGTGACCAATGCCGCCATTGTTGAAAAGTATGGAGTGCTTGGCTATCTCAGAAATATCATATCAAGTATATATCTCTCATCACAATTATATCTGCCTTATCAAGTAATCTTCTGTAACAAGCGTATTTTCAATATCAATATATCTACGATTTGACCCTTGCGACGTGTTCGGAGATAGTGTTTGGTCATTTCAAGGATAAAGGTAATCTTCAAGGCCATACATAGCCCTGAAAAAAAATGTTTGATCAACTGGAGAAACGTTTACTGTAGGTCAGTGAAGCTTGGTACATGTTATCCTGAGGTAGAGGCGGTGATCTGAAAAGATATACAGAAGGTCAGTGTGCCATTTTCACTTAAATGACTTTTCCTGCAAATAAGCTTACATTTTTTTAAGATGTGGTCTCTACTTATATTTTATATTCACTATGATTATGTGAATATTGGGCAATATGTTGCGAAACATCAACATGCATACTGTTATGAGTAGAATGGAGTAGAGGTTGGGATGGAAATCTAATTGTGAGTGAGTATGGTTTTACGCCTCTTTTAGCAATATTCCAGCAATATCACGGTGGGGGACACCAGAAATTGGCTTCACACATTGTACCCATGTCGGGAATCGAACCTGGGTCTTCGGCGGGACGAGCTAACGATTTAACCACTAGGCTAGCCGACCACCCTAGAAATCTAATAATCTATGTATTGTGTGTAATGGTAGACAAATTAACAAATGGCTGATTGGGTGTTCCAGCTTGCTGGGTTGGCTGATTAGGAGTAAGGCTTGCTGGGTTGGCTGATTGGGTGGTCGAGCTGGCTGGTTGGATGATTGGGTTGTCGAGCTTGCTGGGTTGGCTGATTGGGTGGTCGAGCTTGCTGGGTTGGCTGATTGGGTGGTCGAGTTTGCTGAGTCGGCTAATTGGTTGGTCGAGCTTGCTGTGTTGGGGTACTGGTCGGTCGAACTTGCTGGGTTGGCTGATTGGTTGGTCAAGCTTGCTGAGTTGGATACTTGGTTGGTCGAGCTTGCTGGGTTGGCTTATCGGTTGGTCGAGCTTGCTGGGTTGGCTGATTGGGTGGTAGAGCTTGCTGAGTTGGCTGATTTGGTGGTCGAGCTTGCTGGGTTGGCTGATTGGGTGGTCGAGTTTGCTGAGTCGGCTAATTGGTTGGTCGAGCTTGCTGTGTTGGGGTACTGGTCGGTCGAACTTGCTGGGTTGGCTGATTGGTTGGTCAAGCTTGCTGAGTTGGATACTTGGTTGGTCGAGCTTGCTGGGTTGGCTTATCGGTTGGTCGAGCTTGCTGGGTTGGCTGATTGGGTGGTCAAGCTTGCTGAGTTGGGTGATTGGTTGGTCGAACTTGCTGATTTGGTTGATTGGGTGTCATGATTTTTGTTCATGTTTTCATTTCAGATTTGGTCTAAGTGTTTACTTGCCAACATGTAGCTTTCAACCAGATTCACTTTACTTAGGCAAGGAAATATTGTGGCTAACACAACCTTTATTTAAAAAAGCGAAAACATCTATCCAGGCACACTATAAACCATCAACTGTCTGTGTCACTTTTGAAATTTTGCATGCATATCAGAGTAGTGTATCCCTTCACCGTGGCGTATTTTTCACTTCCGGTTCCGTTGCATGCTGGGATACACCGGGACCGGAATTGCCACCATTTTATAAAAAAAACGTCCTATCACGATTAGTTTATTTACTGACAAGATCCAGACTTCTGAAACCGAATGAACCCGTGAACACACTGTCGTGCAATTGTTTTTGCGTTTTCAAATTATACTCCTAAAAAAAGGAAACGCAAAGCCAGATTGGTGTGAGGAAGGAAAGAAACATTTATACGAGGAACCTTACAAGGTATTGAGCCAAAATGTTGTGGAGAGAACACTAGGTGATTGTAATTATCTCAGTTATCGGTACATAGGAAAAGTCAAAGGTGAAGGTCGAGCTTGCTGGGTTGGCTGACTGGGTGGTCGAGCTTGCTGAGTTGGCTGACTGGGTGGTCGAGCTTGCTGGGTTGGCTGACTGGGTGGTCGAGCTTGCTGGGTTGGCTGACTGGGTGGTCAGGCTTGCTGGGTTGGTTGGTCGAGCTTGCTGGGTTGGCTTATCGGTTGGTCGAGCTTGCTGGGTTGGCTGATTGGGTGGTCGAGCTTGCTGAGTTGGCTGATTTGGTGGTCGAGCTTGCTGGGTTGGCTGATTGGTTGGTCAAGCTTGCTGAGTTGGCTGATTGGGTGGTCGAGCTTGCTGAGTTGGCTGATTGGGGGGTTGATCTTGCTGGGTTAGCTGATTTGGTGGTCGAGTTTGCTGACTCGGCTAATTCGTTGGTCGAGCTTGCTGTGTTGGGGTATTGGGTGGTCGAGCTTCCTGAGTTGGCTGATTAAGTGGTCCAGCTTGCTGGGTTGGCTGATTAGGTGGTCGAGCTCGCTGGGTTGGCTACTTGGTTGGTCGAGCTTGCAGGGTTGGGTGATTGGGTGTCATGATTTTTGTTATGTTTTCATTTCAGATTTGGTCTAAGTGTTTACTTGCCAACATTCGGCTTTCAACCAGATTCACTTTACTTAGTCAAGGAAATGTTGTGGCTAACGTATTCTACACAACCTTTAATTAAAAAGCGAAAACATCTATCCAGGCACACTATAAACCATCAACTGTCTGTGTCACTTTTGAAATTTTGCATGCATGTCAGAGTAGTGTATCCCTTCACCGTGGCGTAATTTTCACTTCCGGTTCCGTTGCATGCTGGGATACACCGGGACCGGAATTGCCACCAGTTTTTTATAAACGTCCTATCACGATTAGTTTAGTTACTGACAACTGCACGCAAGATCCAGACTTCTGAAACCGAATGAACCCGTGAACACACTGTCGTGCAATTATTGTTGCGTCTTTCTAACTATCCTCTTCAAAAAAGAAAGAAACGCAAAGCCAGATTGGTGTGAGGTAGGAAAGAAACATTTAAACGAGGAACCGTACAAGGTATTGAGAGATACAAAATGTTGTGGAGAGAACACTAGGTGATTGTAATCATCTCAGTTATCGGTACATAGGAAAAGTCCAAGGTGAAGGATAGCTACCATCAATAACGCGTATGTCCTCCGTTTGAATCGATAACGGTCTGACATCGCCTGTCCATGGAAGAGACGTGTATGCCAATCACATCCTGGGGAATGGTAGCCCATCCGGCCTGCAACGCAAAAGCCAACTGCTGAAACGTCTGGGGTTGTGGTTGACGTCGGCGTAGACCTCTGTTTAATTCAACCTACAGGTGCTCTATCAGGTTCAAATCCGGGGATCTAGAGGGCCAGGGGAGAACATCAACGTTGTTGTTGTGGCGACAGGCTCTTGCGATACGTGCTGTATGCGGTCGAGCGTTGTCCTGCAGGAATACACCGTTGCCGTTGGTTGCAATTGGGAGAACGTGTGGAAGGAGAATTTCGTTGATGTATCGTTGAGCCATAGACCCGTGCTCTTCCATCCCTTCGACGGAGGAGAAATCTTGATTCGTCGCTGAAACAGACATCTCTCCATCGCAGTTGAGTCCATACCCTGTGTTGATGACACCAATGCCGTCGTTATTGACGATGTTGTCGACTCAATATGACGCGTCGAACAAGACGTCGTGCTCGTAAACCTGCTCCTCTTAAACGGTTCGTACGGCCAGATCGGATATTCTACGCAGTCCGGGATTTTGAGATGCGGTTGTAGTGGCTGTGGTCGCCCTTTCATGTAGGTTGTGCACTCGGATGTAGCGATCTTGGGCGGGTGTGGTTACTCTTGGTCGTCTCGACCTTGGCCGATCACGTGTTGATCCATGCTGTTGAAACTGATCCCATAACCTTGTGATGGTGCTGGGCGCGACGTTGAAAACCCTGGCTACAGCTGATCGGGATTCCCCTGCCTGCAAGCGGCCTATGACGTTGTTTCTTTGCACTTCTGTTAATTTTGGCATGTTGTTGAACTGTCACTGTTCGATTGATGCAGATGCGTTTTTACGAATCGTACGTGTTTCCTGACTAATGGTTTGCATGTCCTTGTTGTGATCATTCTGACACTATAACACATTAAACCTCTTCCTTTTGCACCTCTTGGTAAGCTAATGTTCCTTTTATGGCCAAAATATCCATGTTGCGTTTCTTTCTTTTAAGAGTATATTCCCTCACAATACTTGCAGGCTTACATGGTGGCTGCCAGGACAAGTGGAATTGGAGGGATTCGCTTTGTAGCACTGAGTGCATGTGATGCATCTCCGATTATGAGAGGAGGATTTGGGTCCATGTAAGGCATCGAACCCAGGCTAAGTTGTGACGACCGAGCTCTTAAGCCAGTTTAATTTTCTACCCAGTGAACATGTCAGTCATATTCAAAAATCATTATCTGACCCTTTTTTTTACGAAATGTCTTTTGGTATTTGCTTAGTTTTTCTGTGTGTAATTCAACACTTTTGTTCCGTTGTTTTTGGCAACTTTTTCTATATTTCATCTTGATTTGACCATGCTTTTAAATTCTATTAAAATGCAGATTTATCTCAAGCTTCAAATCTCCTCTAGGTTTGAAATTTTAAACTGTTGACATTATAAACTCATCCAGGCAGGACAGTGTTACAGTGCCCTGACAATATTTTTGTCTATTTGAGCATGTATGTCCCGCCTATTGACCAGGATTTCTGAAAACAAGGCTCAGTAGATCACCTAACTGATGAAGAAATCAGTTGGTGACACTTCGACCTGCAATTGGTACAAACATCAACATTTCCCTGCCATATATATATATATTCCTGCTCCAAAGGTCTGCCGGCACATTGAACCAAAATATTTCCCTTGTGAAGATGCACTTGTCTTGCTTCTCTCCTGGTACATTCTCTGTATAGGTTCGACTGGCCTGGTGATATGTAAGCTGTCAGTGGATTGCAACACTACTTGAAATAGATTAACTTATTCATCCCACATTATGCTATAAAACACATATAGCTGACCCCCATTACGTCAATGTGTCCAGAGTTCACCACTTCAATCTGATACTATCTTTGAACAGGCCAGTGTCATGGCGTCTTCGTCTAACGTGAATGTCATGAGGTTATCCGTGTTTGTTTCCACAGCACCTAATTGTTTGTAGAAGTTGATAGCGCTTGTGTTCCCTCGTTTGGCCATCCACTGCATATATCCACAACCCCAGGACAGGGCTAACTGCAAAACAACAGTGAAAGCGGTGGCAGTGAGGATGAAACACAAATAGAGTCAGGCAGATAGGGGTAGATTACTGCATATATTTCATAGTAAACAGGTCACGCTGACACGACGACAGGAAACCAGCCTTGACCTACTTATGCGGCTGTGGTGGTCTATTGTTAAAAGAGACGCCGTGTCGCGCGAGCGGCGATGGTGTCCGAAAGACCAATATATCGTCGATGTTTATTACTGAGACACTTTCATTACACAATTCATTTCTACCCTCTAATATTGTTTCTATGGCTGATTTAAGCCTCGGCGTTGGTTTCATATATTTCCAGTCTGTCGCGGCTCTTGACAATATGTGCATATGAGGCTCTTACTGATATAGTTTACCACCTGACCTCTTTACATAAGTACTTGTGTTATATATCCATCTCACGCTACACGCTCTGTGTATCATGTAAACAGGTCTACCCACAGTTTAAGATAACGTACCGAGGACTCAGTAAACGCCTACTGATGCGGGAAGTGAGTACATGTTGTTTAACGAGTCAGTTAGAAATAGTCACAAGCTATATCACAACGATTTGTAAACAGTCGAAAGTCCTTGACATCGGGTATGATGACGTACAATCGTCCTAGCCACCGAGCCCGACAAGTTGGCTCTCACGACGACAATAGGGTATACTGGGGGCCTAATGTGACTCGGAATCCCCACAGCATAAGGCATATCTCAACCCTAATTTTAGTGTTCATGGATGCACATATCCTCACCCTAAAGCCCTGTAATGGTATTTAACCGTTATCGTTGTGAAACAATTCAATACATGCAATTTGCTTATTTTGTCTTAATCCATCGCTATTTTCCATCTGGACCTTAAATGTTATAACTAGATACAGTTAAAAGCCAAACCCAACCTCTTACGTCCATTGAGGCTGATCATTTTAGTTGTCACACACACAAACACAAACTAATCAAGATACGAAACTTGATACTAAACACAATCATGCTGGAATCTTCATTGTATTACAGTCAGTACTTGTGACTAAACATCCCATGTCATACACCATCAGACTGGCATCTTCATTGTATTACAGTCTGTACCCGTGACCAAATACCCCATGTCATGCACCCTCATGCTGGCATCTTCATTGTATTACAGTCAGTACTTCTGACTAAACATCCCATGTCATACACCATCATGCTGGCATCTTCATTGTATTACAGTCAGTACTTGTGACTAAACATCCCATGTCATACACCATCATGCTGGCATCTTCATTGTATTACAGTCAGTACTTGTGACTAAACACCCCATGTCATGCACCCTCATGCTGGAATCTTCACTGTATTACAGTCAGTACTTGTGACTAAACATCCCATGTCATACACCATCATGCTGGCATCTTCATTGTATTACAGTCAGTACTTGTGACTAAACATCCCATGTCATACACCATCATGCTGGAATCTTCATTGTATTACAGTCAGTACTTGTGACTAAACACCCCATGTCATGCACCCTCATGCTGGCATCTTCATTGTATTACAGTCAGTACTTGTGACTAAACACCCCATGTCATACACCATCATGCTGGCATCTTCATTGTATTACAGTCTGTACTTGTGACTAAACATCCCATGTCATGCACCCTCATGCTGGCATCTTCATTGCATTTCAGTCAGTACTTGTGACTAAACACCCCATGTCATACACTATCATGCTGGCATCTTCATTGTATTACAGTCAGTACTTGTATCTAAACATCCCATGTCATACACCATCATGCTGGCATCTTCATTGTATTACAGTCAGTACTTGTGACTAAACACCCCACGTCATGCACCCTCATGCTGGCATCTTCATTGTATTACAGTCAGTACTTGTGACTAAACACCCCATGTCATGCACCATCATGCTGGCATCTTCATTGTATTACAGTCAGTACTTGTGACTAAACATCCCATGTTATACACCATCATGCTGGAATCTTCATTGTATTACAGTCAGTACTTGTGACTAAACATCCCATGTCATACACAATCATGCTGGCATCTTCTTTGTATTACAGTCAGTACTTGTGACTAAACACCCCATGTCATGCACCCTCATGCTGGCATCTTTATTGTATTACAGTCAGTACTTGTGACTAAACACCCCATGTCATACACCATCATGCTGGCATCTTCAATGTATTACAGTCAGTACTTGTGACTAAACATCCCATGTCATGCACCCTCATGCTGGCATCTTCATTGTATTACAGTCAGTACTTGTGACTAAACATCCCATGTCATACACCATCATGCTGGAATCTTCATTGTATTACAGTCAGTACTTGTGACTAAACATCCCATGTCATACACCATCATGCTGGCATCTTCATTGTATTACAGTCAGTACTTGTGACTAAACACCCCATGTCATGCACCCTCATGCTGGCATCTTCATTGCATTTCAGTCAGTACTTGTAACCAAACACCCCATGTCATACACTTTCATGCTGGCATCTTCATTGTATTACAGTCAGTACTTGTATCTAAACACCCCACGTCATACACCATCATGCTGGCATCTTCATTGTATTACAGTCAGTACTTGTGACTAAACACCCCATGTCATGCACCCTCATGCTGGCATCTTCATTGTATTACAGTCAGTACTTGTGACTAAACACCCCATGTCATACACCATCATGCTGGCATCTTCATTGTATTACAGTCAGTACTTGTGACTAAACACCCCATATCATGCACCATCATGCTGGCATCTTCATTGTATTACAGTCTGTACCCGTGACTAAACATCCCATGTCATACACCATCATGCTGGCATCTTCATTGTATTACAGTCAGTACTTGTGACTAAACACCCCATGTCATGCACCATCATGCTGGCATCTTCATTGTATTACAGTCAGTACTTGTGACTAAACACCCCATGTCATACACAATCATGCTGGCATCTTCATTGTATTACAGTCTGTACCCGTGACTAAACATCCGATGTCATACACAATCATGCTGGCATCTTCATTGTATTACAGTCAGTACTTGAGACTAAACATTCCATGTCATACACCATTATGCTGGCATCGTCATTGTATTACAGTCAGTACTTGTGACTAAACACCCAATGTCATACACCCTCATGCTGGCATCTTCATTGTATTACAGTCAGTACTTGTTATCAAATATCGGATGCCATATTCCATCAAGCTGTGTCATCTTCACTGTATTACAGTCAGTACCTGAGACTAAAGACACCATGTCATACACCATCATGCTGCCATCATCATTATATTTTTTCCAGTCTGTACTTGTGACTAAACAATCAATGTCATACAAAATCGTGCTGGAATCTTCATTGTATTACGGTCAGTACCCGTGACTAAACATCCCATGTCATACACCATCATGCTGCCATCATCATTATATTTTTTCCAGTCTGTACTTGTGACTAAACAATCAATGTCATACACCATCATGCTGGAATCTTCATTGTATTACAGTCAGTACTTGTGACTAAACATCCCATGTCATACACCATCATGCTGGCATCTTCATTGTATTAGAGTCAGTACTCGTGACTAAACATCCCATGTCATACACCATCATGCTGGCATCTTCATTGTATTACAGTCTGTACCCTTGACATAGGGTGTTAAGTCAAGGGTACGGACCACTACTACACACAATACTAGCAGATACATTCCATGATCTCGGAAAGATTTGCAGAAAAAGTGTAATTTATCGCAGAATTGTCGAAAATCGCGGATTTTGATTTTTGTGTCAATCAATACACTAATTTTCATTATTTTCAAGCTTTTTTTCTCGAATGTTGCACTCAAAACGTAGCCCAAACGTTTAACATGAGATCCAAACCTACAAAATATGAATCCTACAATAGCACAATTTATAATTTAGTATTTTTCACTTCTAAACGTCCTTGTGGTATTATGACCAGATAAACCATGCTAACATCTAACTTTAGATAATATCAATGACACTGTGCATATGACATGTTTTGACATGATATGTCTAAATGCAAGAGATTAAGTTTGTTAAAGAATTTTCTTAAGGAGAAATAGTGATATTTTTACAACAAAATGTCATTGTCATTGTAACGATTTTTTAAAATTTTACTGCAGATTCTATTATTACTATTACCACTATTGCTGATACTACTGCTATACTACAACCACTATCACTACTACTATTACTACTACTGCTGATACAACAACCACTATCACTACTACTGCTACTACTGGTGATATTATTGCTATACTACAACATCTATCACAACTACTACTATTACTACGACTGCTGATGCTACAACCACTATCACTACTACTACTGTTACTACTGCTGATACAACAACTACTACTACTACTACTACTACTACAACTGTTATTACTACTGCTGATACTACAACCACATTAACTACTAATACTATTACTACTACTGATGATACTACAACCACTACCACTACTAATACTATTACTACTACTATTGATACGACAACCTCTATCACAACTACTACTATTACTACTACTGATACTACAACTACTATCACTACTTCTATTACTACTACTATTGATACTACAACCACTATCACTACTTCTACTACTACTATTTCTACTAGTGACTACAACCACTATCACTACTACTACAACGACTACTATAGCTACTACGATTACTACTTCTGATACTACAACTACTATCACTACTACTACTATTACTACTATTGATACGACAACCACTATAGCAACTACTACTATTACTACTACTGATACTACAACTACTATCACTACTACTATTACTACTACTATTGATACTAAAACCACTATCACTACTACTACTACTACTACTTCTATTTCTACTACTGATACTTCAACCACTATCACTACTACTACTACTACTATAGCTACTACTATTTCTACTACTATTAGTACTACAACCACTATCACTACTATTACTATTAGTACTACTGATACTACAACCACTAATATATGATATTCCACTATATCAGGGAATCGTAAACATGGACTACAAAAGGACATCAGATAAAGAATTATGAGTCGTGTGTTTTACACGTCACGTGACAAGAGAAGGGTCAACTATTACTTAATGACTGAGATGCTGGGTACCTGGTTTTGAACAGTTGTTTATTATCTCGGATGCATGTTTATATAAGACTTATATTGAAAATAGCTCAAATGTACAAGACTATTACTCGTGAATTTTATATAGAACCACTTCAGCCTTGATGATCATCGGGGACTTAGTCGGAGTTTAACGTCACTTGTGAAAAGTATTTTAGTTATATGACAGCAACACTTGTTTGTACATGTATTGACAGAAACTCATTCCAGATTGGAGACCCGGTTTATGTAACAATGCATATCATGTAGCATGTAAACTGATGATAAACAATATGAAATAGCGAAACCAGGAGGGGAATTGCGATCGACCATGAGGTTTCTGATAAAAGCTGAACTGGAATGCGCGACTGGGAAGGCAACCTTGACAACGGTTCAGAGGACCCTCCCTCTGCACTATGCATTGCGTGACATGTATAACTATTCATATGGGTTTATGAGCGTCAGTTGTTGTATTGTGTGTTTGTATCTGACAGCGAGGTGGTCGTCGGCACACTTACAAAGGGGGCTGGTATTCTGTTCTTGATATGGACGCGATGGAACTGACCTTTATGACACTTAGGCATTCGTCAGTATCACATCCGGGATGCGTTCTAGTCACATTTTAGCAGAGAAAGACACACCTTGGTCCTTCATTAGATATCAAGGCCGTAGTAAACCTTTTTTTGACAGGGGGGTGGGGGGTGGGTGGGTGTGGGGCAATATTTGTACAAGTATCACTTGTCCCCGACATGTATTTTCATGATTCAAATAAAGCTGTTTTCTATAAACGGCACTGGATATAAGTATGTCCAGGTTTGCTTTCTGCACCTGATGATTCTAAAGCACAACCAAATTCAAATCCATTTGCCACATACAAGTAGCATTTGTAACTACAAAAACTGGTGAAAAGGATAACTTCTCTTTCTTGCACTGCATTACACGAACGCTCTCAGCCTTGGGCTATAGCACAATCTGCATTCGTATCCCCGCATGTAATGTGTGATGAAGACTTTTGTGTTGTCCCCGACATCAAAACTCACGAAATCGTAAACGAGTTATCGTACCCATTGAAGACAGGTGTTTAATGCGTCACGCGAGCAGGCGCCACTCACAGTCCGAGTTTCGTTTTCTACCTGAACAAGGCGACGGCCATATTTGACAACCTGTTGTGTCTGTGTCGTGTAAGTAAAACATATCTACTCATTTCTTGTGGTTATATTATCATCCTCTTAACATATACTTATATCATGATGTGCCTCTTGATGAGTGTTTACAGCTGTATGACTTTCATTATAGACCTTAAACATTAGTATCAGCTCTGTTGAATCCAGTGTGTGTGTGTGGTTATGAGGGGGAATGCAGTGGGTAGGTCGGGCTGGGTGGGGTGCTGTTGGAGAATATGAACACAGTGTTGATCTAACGACACTTTATGGCCCCAGATAATTTCATGGTCAATTATGCATGTTGGCACATATTTCTTAATTTTATGTTGACACAAACGCTTCTTTTATTATTTGTTTGCACTCTTGATACGCGCAAGTTAACGGGCCTTCCAATAAAGGCCATGTCTCACCATGTAATTTTTAGAAAAGTAAGAAATTCGTCAATCAGCATCACTGATGAAAGGGTCCAGCCACTTTGTTTGCAGACACTAGTTTGTAAGTGTTGTACAAGTAGTGGTAGAGTGGTGGGAACGGAAGGCCATGTTGTAACACGCTACACAAGCTGGCCACGGCTGGTGGTGAAGTCATTCTATGGGTTGTCATGGCTGCCACACTGACGTCAACATATATGAATAGCGATTCGACGAGCCTGTTCACAGCGGCACAGCCGGGATATTGTGAAGTCGGGTCACTCATGTCATCTGCTTAGCTTTACATTTCCCCTGATTGTAATTCATTGGTGAACGTTCCTCGAACACAGTTTCATACAAAGACACATTGCTATGGTGGGGATCTAAATCTACCCCATGCTTGATATCACATTTCACTGTTAAGACATTTATATCACAGCACGCCAGCTTGATGTAGGGGGAAAGCAAACAAGCATGGGTATGGCGCTGACAAACCCAGAAACATAATCCAAACGAACTGGGAGTCGAACCCGCTATCATAGGTTTCTAGTGTGCCAAAGGGACGCAGCTTTCGACAGCGAATTTCGGCAATTTAGTTGACTGGGAATCCATGCCAAGGTCAATCTCCATTCGCCAACAGTGCATTTCGACTACAGTGCCTATCACCTTTTAGTGCACTTTGCCTACACTGTGAAAAATGCACCCTAAAATTAATTGTGGACGAATCCAAAGTTTTTTTTATATCCTTACTTTACTCTCTGTTGACAAACCTGTGGGATGCCTTGAAAGATGTTATTTATACCATGTACCAATGTCCTGTCAACATCCAGTACGTGAAAGAGCATCTCTATGGGTTTTCATAAGTTATTACTCCCGTGTAGATTCAACAAATTAGTTGTGTTGATAGTCAATCCCTTGTACATCAACCCCTTTTCCCTCCACTTTTAATACCCAACCACCAACCCGGAGATACAATATGAGGGCGATTAACTGATGAGCTTGTCTGACATGTAGTTTCGAAGCACAATACAAGGCTTATTCGTTAACATACATGAACATAGCGATGACTTGGAGCCTCGTTGTTGCTATACTTATTGTAAGACTTCATGGAAGCAAACAATAATTGAACAATAAGGTAGTTTTGTATGCACATTATTTTGTATAGTATTGAAGTTTAAAGGGGCAAGGTAATATCCCAATTCATTGAACATGTAAGTATGCAACATGGAGAATTACAAACAAAAGCACGACGTTCTCCAGAAATAATTTGACCAGAACTTTTGACGCAGTGCGCAGGAACTTTCAATTTCAGTTAGTTATGTTTTTTCATTTACTTTTAAGATCTGTAGCTCAGTCCCAGCGACTTACCCACACACCTGACGTCAGAAGATGACTGCCCCCCACGTTGTCGTCATCCAGAGGAACCACAAGTACCTGAAGGAGTTCCTTCAGGTGGACCCTGTGCTGGACGCCTTGTTGCAGGACGGTGTCTTCACACAGGCGGACTATGACAGGTGTAGACAGGCTGGGCCGGAGAAATGTGAGATGCTGTTAGAAATATTAAAGAAGAAGGGACAAGACGGATACCGGACACTGTGTGCTGTCCTTGATTCCTCACAGCCGTTCATCAAACAACGGCTTGATGAAACCTCCATGGAAGCAGGTATGTTAGTAGGGTTATCATATGTGATCACAAGCTGCCAGAACTACCAACAGCAGTTTGACTAGTACTGCTGTAATATAAGCCTGGATATAACATGGAGTTCACAGCCAGAAATTCACAGGGTCACATCTCGTTTCATTCTCTTCCATCCATTAAAACTCATTATAGCTTAAACGGATAGAATTATCATTGAACCGCCCGCATGTTATCAGAAATGAGCGGGCCACTGTAACTTGATGATGCCCTCATATTGCTTGACGGGTCATTATCACGCCAATTGTTAGGTGACGTCATATCATCCACAGACATGTCTAGTTAGTAGCTAATCCAACAGAAGAAACAAAAAGTCTTCAAACATGTTATATCTCATTTCGTACTGTTTTTATTACATGCACAATGTTCTACTCTTCAGGAAGTGCAGATCTCGTCTATGTCAACAAGTTCAAGCTGGAAGCTCAGTACAAAAAGGAAAAAGAGGACCAGGTAGCTGAAATGCAATCTGTGAGTAGTCCAAACACAGTAAAAACTTGTCTGATCCTCATGTTAAGATACCCCTGTATTCAGATAAGATAGATATGTATGAATTAGTACTGCACATGTATTAGGTATCTGTTGTGCAATGTTGAGTGAATGTTCGCTTCCCGCAACTCTCTTAAACATCAAGTCTATATTACATTTTCCGAGACTAGTGAAACAGACAATACATGTAATAAGCTGCAATGTCTAGGTGTATTTATATGTAGTGGATGTTCAGGTGATTACCCCTCGTTCACGTCTGTTTTCAGGTAATGGAAAGACTTGCGGAACAAATAAAACAAAAAGACTTGGATAACGCTGAACGGGAGGAAGCAATTAAAATGGAAAGAGAGGACCACATAGCACAGATAGAAAAGCAGAAGGAGGAAGTTGAAGCTCGTAAGCTGATGTTTCCTTTCCGGTTTCAAATCTATCTTTTATTTACAACTTTAATTTTACCCATGCCACAATAGCCACACGATGTCATTGCCACGTTGAAACATGCCACATAATTTGAAGTTTGATCAATTCTCTGATGTGATCCTTGTAATCAAATTTCAGTGAAGATGCAGCTGTCAAAGTCAAACGATGATTTGCAGCAGAATCAGGCAGAACGTGACGACGCGAAGAAGGTAGGAATGATGTTATCCTAAAGGAAATACTCGGAAATAGAAACACTGTTGCATAACTACACATGTAAATTAAAAAGGACCATATGAAGCAATGGTACTTGTCATTTCAGAGACTGCATGAAGAACAGGAGGCATACGAGGCCTTGTCGGGGGATCCTAGGCTACAGTCCCCAGATAAAGAAGACATTGCAGTGCCGGTCCATCATACAGGTACACTGAGAAAAGGGACAATCAATCTCACAAACGTAAATAGTTAGAAACTTAATCATAATGAGGTGAGGTGAAATGTAGTTTAGCGTCACGTTCAAGATTACTGCACTTGTAAAGCGACGTACATGCACGTGTTTGTGTGTGGCTGCTTATACCAGTCCGGACAAATGCTGATTCTATAGTGCTAGCCCAATGAGATACCATGCCGCAGTTTAACATGAATACCCCACTCAGACACAGTCTTTGCTGACCAGTCATTGTTTCAGCCCCTTAATGCCGTCATGGCAGGGTGACAAGTATAAGCTGTATTTTGGTATGGCGCTGCCGGGGATCGAACCCCCGACCTTACTCTCTCCGGGCAGACACTCTATCCACTAGACCACGGAAGCCAACTAATCATAATGACGAGCTCAATATGATATTGAATCGATACATCTTAATGTGTTTTTTTACCCCCAGGTGCAATTGACAGAATGTGCCAGTTTTCAACTCAATCTTGCTGTGATAAAAGTCAGCTTCGTCTCCTTCCCTGCCTCCATTCTGCCTGCAAACCATGCATTGATCACCACACCGCCCAAGCACAGCAGAAGTGCCTCCAATGTCCCTGTGGTCGTGAGTTCAACACGGAACAGACTGAAGTAGATCATGTTGGACGCAATGAGGCTGCCTATGCTGCCAACGTTAAGGGAGACAAGAAATGTAACTACATCGAGGGAGATCATGACGCAAAGGCTGAGGTGTACTGTCACGAATGTGATAACCTGCTCTGCTCCGACTGTCATAAACTACATGACGTACCGAAACGGAATAGAAACCACAGAGTGGAGGAGGTCAATCAGACAGAGAATATACCCATGAGGCATTGGCTGAAGGAACCTAATTGCACAGACCACCCAAACAATGAACTCCAGCTGTATGACCACACGTGTAAGAAGGCTATCTGTATTGTATGTCTACATGGGGCCCATAACGATCACAAGAAAGAAGACTTGAATCATGCCCATGAGAAGGCAAAGGGTCAGCTGGAGGAACAGTTGCAGAATCAACGACGTAAACTGAAAGATGTCACAGACAGAATGGCAACTGTCAACAGTCACCAAGATGAACTGGGGGATAAACAGAGAACTCTGGAACAATCCATCATTACGGTTTGTAAAAGTGTGGCTGTAAAGTCCCTTCATCGACAGCGAAAACTGAGGGAAGAGGTTCAAATGAGTCTGGAGGCCCCAAATAAAACAGTTCAAGAGACCCTTGACACTATACATGACGTCCATACTTCCATTGCATCCACGATAGACTACACACAGAGAACACTGGAATCCACAAGAAGAGAGGAGCTCATCACTCTCACTGCTGCAATACTGAAGAAATGTGATGAAAATCTGAAGAGGGAACTTCCAGAAGATGACACAAGAGATACGAGAATCCTCCTTTCCTTTCAAGGCCAGAAAGCCCTGGAGGAACTCATCGATACATTTGGTGGCCTTGTCTCCTCTCTTGACTTAGATCATATTCCAGACACACAGCATACTTATCAAGGTTGGTATATATAAGAACATTCATGTTTAGATAATACTCTGCGACACATTGACCAGTTTCTCATTCAACTATTAAGATCTGAGCCTTTGCGTAAATGTCTCAGTCAGCTGTATTCATCATACCTACGTCAGTACCAAAGCATGTAATCCAGAATATTGCAGTAACACTTATCCAAACATCGAAATGACTTATCGTCATTATAAAGTACCATTAATTGCTAATAAAGTTTTGAATTTATCTGTTCAATATTTGTCTCCAGGTCTGCTTCAACAGATACACCTGCTGACATTGAGAGAACAAGATACAAACACGGTAATATGTTGTTTAAAGGGAAATTAAATGTATCTAAATGAGTTGAATGCAAATATTGTTGGAATCATATTAGAATATTTGTCTGATGAACGTAGTTGGGAGTTCTATACCAGTTATATGTTTTATAAGAACGTCACGTTACAAACTGATCTCTTTGATGCCAATGTTGTTGTTTCAGCTACATGAAGGACGATGGTACCAGCTTGTCAAGATTTTATTTCCCATCCTAGGTACAGTATGATACTATGATGGAGGTCGGGAAGAGCAGATTAAATAAATCACTTGGATAATATCATCTCTCAAATCTTAAATGCAAAACATGAACGTATCTTACGCATACTTGAATTAATCGAAGTGATTCATACATACATACATACATACATACATACATACATACATACATACATACATACATACATACATACATACATACATACATACGTACGTACGTATGTGCGTGCGTGCGTGCGTGCGTGCGTGCGTGTCATACATTCAAACAAACATACGAACGTGCGTGGATGCGTGCGTGCGTGTGTGCGTGCGTGCGTGACTGAGTGCGTGTGTGTTAACATTTAGAGTCGGAGATTGCTTTCAAATATGTTTATGTTTGTCTTCCAACAGGAATCAAGGAATCCGACTCTACTGTATCTGGATCACAGGAACTCCAGCCTGCACAGCCGACATCACAAGACGTTTATGAAGTTGTGACCAAAGTACGTTCAATAACCCAATGAGGTTCCGGGTCTGAATATGTCCCCAGAACCAATGCTGATTGTAAACAGGCGAACAGATAGATCTGGTGATCAGGCTTGTTGATAGCGTGTCATTGTTCCCCGACGGCGTAGGGCATGGACACATACTATCAATCATTGGTTTGTTTGGCCCTGATACGATTACTTACATGCCGCCACCATATAGATGGAATATTGCTGAGTGCGGTTTTGAACAACAGACACAATGTTTAACAACATACCAATTCTCTCTCCTTTGTAGAGTGAAAGGAAATAAGTCGCTGAGTATTATTTGGCCATTCTATAATTTTAATTACAGCTTGCACTATTAAAATCTTTCAAAACCTTTGTTTTCAGTTCATAATTGGATCACTCATGTCCACGGAGACGCTTCCACGTGGAATTTGCTTGACAGGTACGTGCCCGACAATTCCATACAATCTGAATAATGTGAATGACAATAGGTTTGTGACTGACTTGTCAGCAGTATTCTTTAAGTCATATAAGTTCAATTCAAGTTGTAACGAGGGAGTAAAACATCCCTCAGTCGCTGATGAAGAGATCCCGATCGTATCATAATAAACTGTTCCACTTACACGTGGCTGTGTCAGATGAGCATTGCACGGAGTATACACGATATATATCATCTATGTGTGTTGGTTAAAATGAAAATAATGAAACTACAACATGACTAAACTGTGTGTTTCACTTGTGTGAGAGTGCTTCACCATTGTGTGTTTCACTTGTCTAAGGGTGCTTCACCACTGGATGTTTCACTTGTGTGAGGGTGCTTCACCATTGTGTGTTTCACTTGTGTGAGGGTGTTTCACCATTGTGTGTTTCACTTCTGTGAGGTTGTTTAGCCATTGTGTGTTTCACTTGTGTAAGGGTGCTTCACCACTGGATGTTTCACTTGTGTGAGGGTGCTTCACCATTGCGTGTTTCACTTGTGTGAGGGTGCTTTACCATTGTGTGTTTCACTTGTGAGAAGTTGTTTCGCCAGTGTGTGTTTCACTTGTGTAAGGGTGCTTCACCACTGCATGTTTCACTAGTGTGAGGATGCTTAAACATTGTGTGTTTCACTAGTGTAAGGGTGTTTCACCACTGTATGTTTCACTTGCCTGAGGGTGCTTCACCATTGTGTGTTTCACTTGTGTAAGGGTGCTTCACCACTGTGTGTTTCACTTGTGTGAGGGTGCTACACCAGTGTCTGTTTCACTTGTGTAAGGGTGCTTCACCACTGTATGTTTCTCTTGTGTTAGGGTGTTTCACCATTGTGTGTTTCACTTGTGTAAGGGTGTATCACCACTCTATGTTTCATTTGTGTGAGGGTGTTTCACCATTGTGTGTTTCACTTCTGTACGGTGCTTCACAACTGTATGTTTCACTTGTGTGAGAGTGCTTCACCATACGATGTTTCACTAGTGTAAGGGAGCTTCTCCACTGGATGTTTCACTAGTGTAAGGACGGTTCCCCACTGGATGTTTCACTTGTGTGAGGCTGCTTCACCACTGTATGTTTCAATTGTGTGAGGGTGCTTCACCACTGTGTGTTTCATTTGTGTGAGGCTGCTTCATCACTGTGTGTTTCACATATGTAAGGGTTCTTCACCATTGTCTGTTTCACTTGTGTAAGGCTGTTTCACCACTCTATGTTTCACTTGTGTGAGGGTGCTTCACCACTGTGTGTTTCACTTTTGTACGGGTGCTCCACAACTGTATGTTTCACTTGTATGAGGGTGCTTCACAATTGGATGGGGGCGGTCGGGTAGCCTAGTGGTTAAAGTGTTCGCTCGTCACGCCGAAAACCCGGGTTCGATTCCCGACATGGGTACAATGAGTGAAGCCCATTTCTGGTGTCCCCCGTGGTGATATTGCTGGAATTTTGCTAAAATCGGCGAAAAACCATACTCACTCACTAACCATTGGATGTTTCACTTGTGTAAGGATGCTTCACCGTTGTGTCTTTCCCTTGTGTGAGGGTGTTTCAACATTGTGTATTTCACTTGTGTGAGGGTGTTTCACCACTGGATGTTTCACTAGTGTAAGGGTGCTCCACCATTGTCTCTTTCATTTGTGTAAGGGGGCTTCACCACTGTATGTTTCACTTGTTTGAGGGTGCTTCACAATTGTGTGTTTCACTTGTGTAAGGTGCTCCACCATTGTGTGTTTCAGTTGTGTAAGTGTCCTTCACCACTGGATGTTTCACTTGTGTGAGGGTGCTTCAGCACTGGATGTTTTACTAATGTAAGGATAGTTCACCATTGCGTGTTTCACTTGTGTAAGGGTGCTTCACCACTGCATGTTTCACTTGTGTGAGGGTACTTCACCATTGTGTGTTTCACTAGTGTAAGGGTGGTTCACCACTGGATCTTTCACTTGTGTGAGGGTGGTTCACCACTGTGTGTTTCACTTGTGTAAGGGTGTTTCACCATTGTGTTTCACTGTGTGAGGGTGCTTCACCACTGGATGTTTTACTAGTGTAAGGATAGTTCACCATTGTCTGTTTCACTTGTGTAAGGGTGTTTCACCACTGTATGTTTCACTTGTGTGAGGGTGCCTCACCATTGTGTGTTTCACTTGTGTAAGGGTGCTTCACCACTGGATATTTAACTTGTGTGAGGGTGCTTCACCATTGTCTGTTTCACTTGTGTGAGGGTGTTTCACCATTGTGTTTCACTGTGTGAGGGTGCTTCACCACTGGATGTTTTACTAGTGTAAGAATAGTTCACCATTGTCTGTTGCACTTGTGTAAGAGTGTTTCATCACTGTATGTTTCACTTGTGTGAGGGTGCCTCACCATTGTGTGTTTCACTTGTGTAAGGGTGCTTCACCACTCGATATTTAACTTGTGTGAGGGTGCTTCACCATTCTCTGTTTCACTTGTGTGAGGGTGTTTCACCATTTTGTTTCACTGTGTGAGGGTGCTTCACCACTGGATGTTTTACTAGTGTAAGGATAGTTCACCATTGTCTGTTTCACTTGTGTAAGGGTGTTTCACCATTGTATGTTTCACTTGTGTGAGGGTGCCTTACCATTGTGTGTTTCACTTGTGTAAGGGTGCTTCACCACTGGATATTTAACTTGTGTGAGGGTGCTTCACCATTATCTGTTTCACTTGTGTGAGGGTGTTTCACCATTATGCGTTTCACTTGTGTAAGGGTACTTCACCACTGGATGTTTCCCTGGTGTAAGGATGCTTCACCACTGGATGTTTCAACAGTGTAAGGATGCTTTAACATTGTGTGTTTCACTTGTGTAAGGGAGCTTCCCCACTGGATGTTTCACTAGTGTAAGGATGCTTCACCACTGGATGTTTCACTTCTGTGAGGGTGATTCACCAGTGTGTGTTTCACTTGTGTGAGGGTGTTTCACCATTGTGTGTTTCACTTGTGTATGGGTGCTTCACTACTGTATGTTTCACTTGTGTGAGGGTGCTTCAGCACTCATGTTTCACTTGTTTGAGGGTGCTTCACCACTGGATGTTTCACTAGTGTAAGGATCCTCCACCATTGTCTGTTTCATTTGTGTAAGGGGGCTTCACCACTGTATGTTTCACTTGTGCGAGGGTGCTTCACCATTGTGTGTTTCACTTGTGTAAGGTGCTCCACCATTGTGTGTTTCACTTGTGTGAGGGTGCTTCACCATTGTGTGTTTCACTAGTGTAAAGGTGGTTCACCACTGGATGTTTCACTTGTGTGAGGGTGCTTCACCACTGAGTGTTTCACTTGTCTAAGGGTGTTTCACCATTGTGTTTTTCACTTGTGTATGGGTGCTTCACAACTGTTTGTTTCACTGTGTAAGGGTGCTTCACAACTGTATGTTTCACTGTGTAAGGGTCCTTCACCACTGTATGTTTCACTTGTGTGAGGGTCCCTCACCATTGTGTGTTTCACTTGTGTAAGGGTCCTTCACCACTGGATGTTTCACTTGTGTGAGGGTGCTTCATCACTGTATGTTTCACTTTTGTGAGGGTGCTTCAGCACTGAATGTTTTACTAATGTAAGGATAGTTCACCATTGTGTGAATTTTGCTAAAAGCGGCTTAAACCATACTCACTCACTCACCATTGGATGTTTCACTTGTGTAAGGATGCTTCACCATTGTGTGTTTCACTTGTGTGAGGTGCTTCTCAATTGTGTGTTTCACTAGTATAAGGGTGCTTCACCATTGTGTGTTTCATTTGTGTAAGGGGGCTTCACCACTGTATGTATCACTTGTGCTAGGGTGCTTCACCATTGTGTGTTTCACTTGTGTAAGGTGCTTCACCATTGTGTGTTTCACTTGTGTAAGGTGCTTCACCATTGTGTGTTTCACTTGTGTAAGGTGCTTCACCATTGTGTGTTTCACTAGTGTAAGGGTGCTTCACCACTGGATGTTTCACTTGTGTGAGGGTGCTTCACCATTGTGTGTTTCACTTGTGTATGGGTGCTTCACTACTGTATGTTTCACTTGTGTGAGGGTGCTTCAGCACTGGATGTTTCACTAGTGTAAGGGTGGTTCACCATTGTGTGTCTCACTTGTGTAATGGTGATTCAGCCCTGGCTGTTTCACTTGTGTAAGGGTGCTTCACCATTGTGTGTTTCAATTGTGTACGGGTGCTTCACAACTGTATGTTTCACTTGTGTGAGGGTGCTTCACCATTGGAGGGGGGCAGTCGGGTAGCCTAGTGGTTAAAGTGTTCGCTCGTCACGCCGAAAACCCGGGTTCGATTCCCGACATGGGTACAATGAGTGAAGCCCATTTCTGGTGTCCCCCGCGGTGATATTGCTGGAATTTTGCTAAAAGCGGCGTAAAACCATACTCACTCACTCACCATGGAATGTTTCACTTGTGTAAGGATGCTACACCATTGCGTGTTTCACTTGTTTGAGATGCTTCACCATTGTGTGTTTCACTAGTATAAGGGTGCTTCACCACTGTATGTTTCACTTGTGTGAGGGTGCTTCACCATTGGATGTTTTACTTGTGTAAGGATGCTTCACCATTGTGTGTTTCATTTGTGTAAGGGTGCTTCACCACTGTATGTTTCACTTGTGTGAGGGTGCTTCACCATTGGATGTTTTACTTGTGTAAGGGTGCTTCACCATTGTGTGTTTCACTTGTGTAAGGTGCTTCACCATTGTGTGTTTCACTTGTGTAATGTGCTTCACCATTGTGTGTGTCACTAGTATAAGGGTGCTTTACCACTGGATGTTTCACTTGTGTGAGGGTGCTTCACCAGTGTGTGTTTCACTTGTGTGAGGGTGCTTCACAACTGTATGTTTCACTTGTGTGAGGGTGCTTCACCATTGGATGGGATGGGTCGGGTAGCCTAGTTGTTAAAGCGTTCGCTCGTCACGCCGAAAACCCGGGTTCGATTCCAAACATGGGTACAATGAGTGAATCCCATTTCTGGTGTCCCCTGCGGTGATATTGCTGGAATTTTGCTAAAAGCGGCGTAAAATCATACTCACTCACTCACCATTGGATGTTTCACTTGTGTAAGGATGCTACACCATTGTGTGTTTCACTTGTTTGAGATGCTTCACCACTGCATGTTTCATTTTTGTGAGATGCTTCACTACTGGATGTTTTACTAGTGTAAGGATGGTTCACTATTGTCTGTTTCACTTGTGCGAGGGTGCTTCACCACTGGATGTTTCACTTGTGTGAGGGTGTTTCACCATTGTGTGTTTCACTTGTGTACGGGTGCTTCACAACTGTATGTTTCACTTGTGTGAGGGAGCTTCACCAGTGGTTAAAGCGTTCGCTCGTCACGCCGAAAACCCGGGTTCGATTCCCAACATGGGTACAATGAGTGAAGCCCATTTCTGGTGTCCCCCGCGGTGAAATTGCTGGAATTTTGCTAAAAGCGGCGTAAAACCGTACTCACTCACTCACCATTGGATGTTTCACTTGTGTAAGGATGCTACACCATTGTGTGTTTCACTTGTTTGAGATGCTTCACCACTGGATGTTTCACTTGTGTGAGGGTGTTTCACCATTGTGTGTTTCACTTGTGTAAGGGTGCTTCACAACTGTATGTTTCACTTGTGTGAGGGAGCTTCACCAGTGGTTAAAGCGTTCGCTCGTCACGCCGAAAACCCGGGTTCGATTCCCAACATGGGTACAATGAGTGAAGCCCATTTCTGGTGTCCCCCGCGGTGAAATTGCTGGAATTTTGCTAAAAGCGGCGTAAAACCGTACTCACTCACTCACCATTGGATGTTTCACTTCTGTAAGGATGCTTCACCATTGTGTGTTTCACTTGTGTGAGGTGCTTCACCACTGTGTGTTTCACTTGTGTAAGGGTGCTTCACCACTGTATGTTTCATTTGTGTAAGGGTGCTTCACCACTGTATGTTTCACTTGTTTGAGGGTGCTTCACCATTGTGTGTGTTCACTTGTGTGAGGGTGCCTCACCATTGTGTTTCACTTGTGTACGGGTTCTTCACAACTGTATGTTTCACTTATGTGAGGGTGCTTCACCATTGGATGGGGGCGGTCGGGTAGCCTAGCGGTTAAAGCGTTCGCTCGTCACGCCGAAAACCCGGGTTCGATTCCCGACATGGGTACAATGAGTGAAGCCCATTTCTGGTGTCCCCCGCGGTGATATTACTGGAATATTGCTAAAATCGGCGTAAAACCATATTCACTCATTCACCATTGGATGTTTCACTTGTGTAAGGGAGCTTCACAACTGCATGTTTCACTTGTGTGATGGTGCTTCACCACTGTGTGTTTCACTTGTGCGAGGGTGCTTCACCACTGCATGTTTCACTTGTGTGAGGCTGCTTCACCACTGTGTGTTTCACTTGTATATGGGGGGTTCACCATTGTGTTTTTCACTTGTGTTAGAGTGCTTCTGCATTGTGTGTTACTGGATTATTGCTAAAATCGGCGTAAAACCATATTCACTCATTCACCATTGGATGTTTCACTTGTGTAAGGGAGCTTCACAACTGCATGTTTCACTTGTGTGAGGGTGCTTCACCACTGTGTGTTTCACTTGTGTAAGGGCGTTTCACCACTGGATGTTTCACTTGTGTGAGGGTGCTTCACGATTGTGTGTTTCACTTGTGTGAGGGTGCTTCACCTGTGTGTATGACACGATTAACCCAGTCCTCTGAGGCGAACAATTCGCCGTGAAGACTTACATTACTTCTTATGGCACTCCCCAAACCAAACTGACACACCACGATACAACTGAAACACTGTTTTATAATTTTGTAAAACACACCTCACAGATTCACTGTCTGCAAGCTGTGCAGGGCTACCGTGAAAATAAACCTTACTCACATTTCATCAGAAACAAATGCGCCAAAATGGTGTTTTAAACTTAAACTATACTTTTGCAGGCTCTTTCTGTCCAATGCACATCCTAAGAAAGGGCAGCAGTGTCAAATACATCATCTGTAAGTATATTGTACTCGTTGTAACATGCTTTAGTGAACATAACCTGACTCCCCGAGTGTCATTATTCACTGACGTTAAGGAAAGTTACTTTCCGCCACTGGTGTCTGGTCAGACTTGTATATTAACAGACCACTGTAGGGAAGCCGGAACACTGCTCAAACAGACGTAGAACAACCCATTATATGCGACGTATATAGTGAGTGAATGAGTAGATATTAAGTCACCTTTGGCAGTATTCCAGCTATATCACAGCTGGAGACACCAAAAATAGGCGTGTACCCTTGTCTGGAATCGAACTGATGTTTTTGACCTGTCAGACGCTTTAACCACTGGGCTACTTCCAGCAGTTTATAATATCCAGTACTTCAAATGCCTGGAGCATCTCAGTTGTTTTCAGGGGACGCATTTTTGTAGAGGTGTTGATTTCCGAGTGTTGACATTACAACGTTCGGTTGTTCTCCAGATGTTTTTAGTATGCCGGCATTGAGTCTTAATACCTCCCGTCACTTTTATGTTGAGTCGTAGTGACATGGATAATATTTACAGACGATTCTTACTCTAAGCTTATGCATATGTTGTGAAACGTAAAACCTAATCATTCGACAACAATTGAGTGAGTGAGTAAGGTTTTACGCCGCTTTTAGCAATATTCCAGCAATATCACGGCGGGGGACACCAGAAATGGGCTTCATACAGTGTACCCATGTCGGGAATCGAACCTGGGTATTCGGCGTGACGAGCGAACGCTTTAACCACCAGGCTACCCGATCGCCCCTATTCCACAACAAACTGAAAAAAGTCGATTCAGAAATTCACGTAAGAACTATGACATTGTAGATTTCAGTTTATCAGTTCACCTGACGGAGTATTTCGCCCTTGTCGACCCCTGTCGCTAAGGACGTTGCTATGGCGGTTAATTTCATTGGTAACAATCATTACGGTAAAACATTCTTTTTGCGTTCGGGTTAACGTTCCTCTTCAATACTGTTTCTGAATGAAACTTTTAGACAAATTGTTGTAATGTTGCACTTGATACTTTGTGGAGACATTTATTTCATTTTAGATTCTGATAGAAAACTATGCTTGTCGTAAGAGGCGACGTGCCCGACATGGTTGATGAATGAATTAATGAATTTTTTTGTTTCTTTGGCTGGTAACAATTCACATCCATAAAAGCTTGTAGATACAATCATTCTTTTCCATATATTGAAACGTGCAACTGGGTGGAGGTCTGAATCGTTAAGTCCGAGTGATCGTAGTGAATTAACACATTTTCTTTCTTTTAAGCAACACGTCATGATTCCTTCTTTACATGATAAATTTATGTTTATGATTATTCCGCCATATTTGACTATATCTGAGTGCGGCATTAAACAACATACAAAACAAATCAACAGAAATCTTAATTATAATTCACATTTCACTTTAATATTATTGCATTGTCACTTCAAACCGCGCCACAACACGTGCATGGCAATGATTGTAAAGGTTTATAAGTATTAACAAACTCATGTATTGTGATATACATGCTTATCGTAAGTTCGATACTGATGATGAAAGCCGTGCATGTTGCTATGGCAGCGATACTCGTCTGGCGCAATGAGAATATCATCAATGCCTCTTTCTTAATAACTTGGGGCACTTGTAGTCTAGTGGGTAATGCGTTCGCTCGTCGCGCCTAAGGATCGGGTTCGATTCCTCACATGGGTCCAATGTGTAACGCCCATTTTGGATGTCACCAACCGTGAAATCGTTGGAATATTGCTAAAGGCGGTGTTAAACCCTACTCACCCAATCACTCTTAATGACGAAGTTTTCGAATTTTGTCTTGAAAACAGTGGCGTCAGTGGTCAATATGAGAAAGAACATTTCTGAATCTGACTTCTAACGAGAATTATCGCTCGGGTAAATGAATAAATATTTGGAGGTTGTATTGCAAATCAAAAGTGATCAACTTATCTTGTGCAGATCTGACCGAGGAGGACATTTCTGTATTACTTAAAGGTATGAATTTCACCCCCACTCCATTGAAACAGGATTTACATGAACTAGAAACAGATGTGTCTGATTTTTGTAGAAAATTGAGATTACTAATCATTTTGATATTGATACTTCATTAGTTAGAAACAAAAGCACCTTCACTCCAATACCTGATAGTAACAAAGTGTAAGACAATGTTATTAACCGCCTCAAAGATTTAACCTTTACTGTAAACCCTCAAAGAGGTAAATCAAACATAACAAAACATGAACGAGCGGCTCTGAACAGATTATCAAACAACGGGTCAATTGCTATTAAAGAAGCTGATAAGGGAGGCGCTATAATAATTTTGGACAGCAATTATTACCAAGAACTCTCATTGGAAATGTTAAAAGACGAATCTTGTTACAGAAAGCTTTCAGACAGTTCGGAAAAATCTGTATTACTTAATCTTAAAAGATTAGTATATTCACACTCTCAATGCCTTACTAAAAACGAAGAGGATTATTTAATTAATTTTGAATCGAAAGAAAGTAATTTTTATGGCCGCCCTAAAGTTCATAAGAGCGCACAGATCCAAGAAAAATGTAGAACATTGAATTCTGCTTATGTCAAAATACCCCCCGTAAATGATTTAAAATTACAGCCAATAATTGCAAGACCCAAATGTCCCATACACAGAATCAGTGACCTTATGGATAAAGTGTTGAAATCAATAGCTAAACATGTCAAGAGCTACATAAAATATACCACTGATTTTCTGAACCAACTTCCCGCCTCAGTCGAAAATGGTACAAAGTTGGTCAGTTTTGATGTAGTTAGTTTATATTCAAACATTCCCGTGATCTCGGCACAGAAGCTATTGAATACTGGATAAATAAACACCGTTCGGAAATCCGAGAAGACATTTTCGTTATCGATAGTATTAAATCTATTCAAAACAATAACACTTTTAATTGTGATGGTTCGCATTACAAACAAATTAAAGGCACATCAATGGGGACAAAAATGGCCCCTACTTATTCAACCCTTGTACTTGGTTATTTAGAGGAAAAACTACTCAAAAAGTGATGAAAACTTCGGCATTGAATTTGGACAGGGATTTCAAGATAAATGTAAACGATTTTTAGATGATTGTTTTGTTCTGTGGAATCGGAATGAAGAGTTTGATAGATATTTTACAGACACTCTATCCAGGTTTAATCTTTACTTTAGAGATGAGCGATAACAATATATCGTTTCTAGATGTAATGGTTACAATTTCAAACAATAACATTGAAACAGATGTATATTACACACCAACCGATTCCAAGCAATACCTCAATTACAATTCCTGTCACCCCGTCATACTAAAAACAGTGTCCCTTACTCATTAGCACGTAGAATCTGTGCGATAGTATCTACTTCAGATCGTGCACAATGTAGACTCGATGAACTGAGCGAGTCACTTTTAGAAAGAAACTACCCTAGCAAAATAGTAAAATAGTAGAAGACGCAATAAACAAGGCCAAATCACAAAACCATTGTGATCTTTTGAAACCTAAAGATAAACCTAACGAGAGTGTTCTCCCTTTTAGTTACAACCTTGAATCAGACAGGGGACAACATAAGAGCGAGAGTGAGGGTCCCCCGACAACAAATAAGGGACCCCTCTTGCCGGTGTATCCCACTCAGTCAACACATTGATCCGTGTGCCGGGAATAAAACACCAAATTTTGTGATATTCCCGTTTTACAAATGTGACAATTATGCACTGAGAAAGATAAAAGAAACTTATGTTATTAATACTTTCAAACCAAAATTAAATGGCCTGTAATAATTGAATTATTTTATACAATTACACGTATTGTGTTTTTTGCTGCTACTACAATACTTACACAACGGCAAATTAGTCAGTGATCATTTAGCATTGTTGACTTGTCTATCCGCAGGATAATATAGGCTATTGCTCAATGTAGATCGTTGTTATTTATATATTGTTTAGTTATTTTATGTTTACGTCTGTGGGAACAGTTATAGCAGTGGGTGCATTAAATACTGAGAATGTATTAAATTATATCCCTGACAACATCTTTAATAATCGTCATGTGACAATAATCTACATCGTGTCCCAGTCACAACTAACGCGACATTCTCCCGTCCAGCGAGTGTGCTGAAACTGTGGCCAGTGACTGAAGCGGACGTAGAAGTTACCTGTTCACACTGTGTCTGTTGAACACTCAAGTGTAAAAATATCGTCAAACAACAGCTTTTTCTGTCTTATTGTTTACAAAATTGTACAAGAAGAGTTTAGAATTGCCATGATGATAGTTTTATCGTGAAATAATGTGGAAACACTTGTATATTTAGGCTGTTGTCGTCTATTTCTGATTGCTGACACAAACCAGCCCAACTACAACTTTGTGAACAAGTATTTAAAACAGCATTCATTTGTTTTTATAAAAAACATTTTGAATACCCAGTCAAATAATTTCACAGCGTTATTGCTACTATTTAGGGCATTGTTATGTTAAAATTCACAGACAGACGAAAATGGCATCCGATCGTTCAGCGCGGTGTTTTGTAAACATTGAAACGAGGTTCACAATAAAATGACTAATTTGTTATCTGAAGTCATGAAATTTGGTAAACTGTAAACTAAATGTATATTTCCAGGTCCTAAACTACAACTGGACGCTGCTCGAGCCAACACAGACGGGTGCCACGTAACTACAGACGGTGAGCTGGGCAACTCGCCGCCCGCCACACGACACAGAGACAGCGGCAGGTTACAGAGACACAGAGGCAGCGGCAGGTTACAGATACACCGCAGCACCTGTAGTTCCACCCCCATCCCACTTCCTCCACCCCCCTCTAATGTCACCCCTGCCCCACACACACCACGATACTGGGAAACCCACTCCCGGGTGGGTGTGGTGGGTGGAGGGTTGGGGTGGTCTGCCCTGGAGATGGGTGTGGGGGAGGAGAGCCAGGTGGACAGTGGGTTGTATGTTCGTGCACAGCGCCGCTCCTGGTGTGTCGGTGTAGGGAGCTGTGACACACACCGGGGGAGTATCTGTACCAGGGTGTGGCAGCCGGGGGAGCGGGGGGGGTGTTACAGAAACACAATGTCTGCCACACCCGGCACACAGGCCACCCTCCACTATGGCGTTGTGCTGGACGTGGGGAGGGGGAGACTCGCCTTCATCGATATCGACAGGGGGATTCTTATGGCCAAGTTGGATGTTGAGTGGAGGGAGTCTCTTCTCCCCGTGTTTGGTGTTGGGCCGCCAGGTAACTTCACAGTCAACATGAAGGTGGTCAGCGGGGTGGACATCACCATGACTGACTCCAAGAAGTCACTTATTTATAACGCGCTCACATAGGAAATAAAATAAACATGACATTGTGTAAACTTGTAAGTGTGACATAGTTATTTAAACTGTCAAAAGTAATGTGATTTTATTGATTGAGGCGGACATAGAAGTTACCTGTCTTTGTGTAGTTTGTTGTGTACAAGAATGTAACAAGGTTAGCTAAATGTTTTGTTTTCTACTTGACTGGTTTCTGTTGTGTATTAGAAACATTTTGCATCCTCACATGAGTATTGTTATGAATATGAATCTGCGGTAATCGATCAGTTTATCACACATTTCCTACATTTCCGGGAAATGGCACAACAATCAACTGAGTGCACAAATTCATCAAAAGTTGACATGGTCCGTTTCTTCTCTGTAATATAATTGTTTCAAATCCCCACATGAATAGTGTTGTGCTGAAAGTATTGCAGTTGTGCCTCCACATTGCCACATTTGGTGTCGGTGAAGAAATGGGATGAAAGTGATTGAAGCGGACATAGAATGTACCGGTGTACATGTGACGGGTGTACGGAAATGTTACAAAGTTCACTGAATATTATGTTTCTCTATTCTCATGCGTCGTGCTGTGTGGGGAAAACACTTAGGATACCCACAGTAGTGTTTGTTTAATTATCTGCTCTGATTATGTCAAATATTGTGTGGACATAAGGTAGCACGCGGTGCTGTGCACAGCGAGAAGGCACAAGTCAGGTGAAGTGAAGCAACGTCGTTCACAGAGATTATTATTCGGCAGCTTGGCTTCTGAGAGTTTCTAGGGCTTCGGTCCTACCCCACACTGAAGCACATGTAATTTAAGACACGTGGTGTCTCCTTGGGCATGTGTCTTTGTTCGAAATGTGCCTCTGTTCACCCAGCAGTACCCCAGATGATGAGATGGTAATGTGGCTGTTAACCTTCCAGCGCCTCACGGGCAGGTTGGGTTGTATACTCCCCAGGGAGGTGAGAATGAAAAAATCGAGTGCACACTTTTTCATTGATCGGGGTATTAATGTTGGCGCTTGAGCATACACCTTGTGTAAGGAGTTTAGCATATTATATAAGTACATTTTTATTATTATTATTATTATTATTATTATTATTATTATTATTATTATTATTATTACTACCACATCCCAAAAGTGCCGTGAGCATAATAATATTTATCTGTACATGTATTCTGTAAGAGATTTAACAGATTTGAATAAAGTTTTGAAACTTGAAAGTTGTGCGAAAACTGTGTTCGTGTGGCACTGGATCTAACTCTAACTATCAGAGACGCAGAATGTACAATTTATTGTCATGTGGTATACTATTAATTGCAGCTATAAAATGTGTCCAGCACACAACAAAGTTTGCCACTTCTATCTTTCACCTGTTGAAGCTTATTTGTGTCACAGTCTAAACAAACTATCATACTTTTGTCAACGTAGATGATACTTTTATCTACGTCGAGCCACCTAGATGCTACTTTCTACACGTAGATGATACTTTCATCTACGTTTATAGTGGACACGGGTGGCCCAGTCGTCAAAGGCCCCGCGATTCGCTGCGCAGAGTTGCGTCCCTTAGGCACGCCAGAAACCTATGATAGTGGGTTCGAATCCCGGTTCGCCCCGATTATGTTTCTAGGTTTGTCAGCACCATAACCATGCTCGTGGGTTTCACCGAAGAGGTAAACGCCTTAGACCTCCATCACTTCGGGCTTTCCTCCCACATTAAGCTGACACAGCCGTGGAATACCGTTAAAAGCGGCGTAAAACTCAACTCACTCACTCCACGTTTGTGATATTATAATCGTGCGTATCGTTACGTGATACTGTCCTGTGAAGTTGCTTGGATACCAGATTATGCAAACATTTATATTTTGAATAAAGTAATTACTTAATTATTGTTAATTCAATTAAATGTTTGGGAGCATGTTGGTTGTTTATTTGTCCTTTTGTATGTTTTACAGCATAATGAGATCATTTCAAACTGACAAACTATCAGCGCTTAAAACTGCAGAATAGAACCTTCAGTGCGTCATAGGATGATGATGGCGAGTATTGGTTTGATACAGTTTTTACAGTTTGAGTGATTCTCCCCCTTCATATTCACGTTTTACCCGTTAAACCTAATTTCCGTAATAGAGAAATCATGCGAATAGTCATATTCTAGTGACCTCTCCGTTCTAACTCATGTTATGGTTGATATATAATTTCATTAAGATTTTGCATAATCACCTATAGTTGATGCGGGATAGAATAGGTCTTCAGCAACCCACGCTTGTCGTAAAAAGCGACTATGTTTGTCGTAAGAGGCGACTAACAGGATCAGGTGGTCAGGCTCACTGACTTGCTTGATGCATGTCATCGATCCCAATTCCATGGATCGATGCTCATGATATTCATCAGTGGATTGTCTGGTCCAGACTCGATTATTTACAGACTGCCGTCATATAGCTTGAATATTGCTGAGTGCGGCGTTGAACAACAAACCAACTGACCAACCAAATATAATTTCACTAAAATTTTGCATAATGACCTATAGTTGTTTGTTTGTTTGTTTGTAGTTCGGAGGAAATTTTCTACTTTTAACTTTAGTAACTTCGACACATTTAAATGAAGACTTACTGTATTTAATAGTTAGATATACCTCCATAAAGACATGTCCAGATTGAAAGTCAAACAAATCGGTCAGTATCAATTAAGCCAGAGGTTATATATAACTGACCCAGAACTAGTGTCGATTACTCAATAAAATATTGTTACAAAATTCGATAATTCGATAGTGGATGACACTTTTTTCTACGTAGATTATAGTATCGTATACGTTGACGGAAGTACCTTCTGCGATTAAAGTATTATCTTCGAAGATGAAAGTATCATGTACGAAGATGATATATACTTCCATATTCCGACAAAGCCACTTTTCCGGAAACCTGTATTTGACAGCTTTACTTCGATCGTGAGCGGACGAAATATGGTCTTCTATATGAAAGCCATATCAGTATTTGTAATACATTTGTATCGTAATTATAAAGGTACACAGTCGATAGCGAAATTACTCAGAACACAGAAAAGGGGCATAACTCCGCTATGCTTAAATAAAGGTCATTGAATTTCTGCAGTCCTTGTGGTACTTTTATATGAATCACGACAATATATTTTCTTTATGCTTTGTTCACGAGTTACCAAACAGTTCTGACACATTTATCGATATTGAAAGAATATACTATTAGGCTTTGGCATTTTTCAGTTTAAATAAAATTGTTTCACGCAAAGATTAAGTGAGACATGACATTTATCCCTTGTTCACCTGATTATGTTAGTGTACTGTGGCCCTGATTCATCTGATTGTGTTAGTGAACTGTAGCTCTGATTCCCCTGCTTGTGTCAGTGTACTGTGGCCATGAATCACCTCATTGTGTCTGTATACTGTAGCTCTGATTCACCTGATTGTGACAGTGTACTGTAGCTCTGATACACCTGATTATGTCTGTATACTGAATCTCTGATTCACCTGATTGTGTCAGTATACTGTGGCCCTGATTCACCCGATTCTGTCAGTGTACTGTGGCCCTGATTCATCTGAATGTGTCAGTGTACTGTAGCTCTGATTCCCCAGATTGTGTCAGTGTACTGTGGTCCTGATTCCCCTGCTGGTGTCAGTGTACTGTGGCCCTGATTCCCCTGCTGGTGTCAGTGTACTGTGGCCCTGATTCCCCTGCTGGTGTCAGTGTACTGTGGCCCTGATTCATCTGATTGTGTCAGTGTACTGTGGCTCTGAATCACCTGATTGTGTCAGTGTACTGCAGCTCTGATTCATCTGATTGTGACAGTGTACTGTGGCCCTGATTCCCCTGCTGGTGTCAGTGTACTGTGCCCCTGATTCATCTGATTGTGTCAGTGTACTGTGGCTCTGATTCACCTGATTGTGTCAGTGTACTGCAGCTCTGATTCACCTGATTGTGTCAGTGTACTGCAGCTCTGATTCACTTGATTACGTCAGTGTACTGTGGCTCTGATTCACCTGATTGTGTCAGTGTACTAAGACCCTGATTCCCCTGCTTGTGTCAGGGTACTGTGGCCATGAATCACCGGATTGTGTCTGCATACTGTGGCCCTGATTCACCTGATTGTGTAATTGTAATGTGGTCCTGATTCACCTGGTTGTGTCAGTGTACTGTGGTCCTGATTCACCTGATTGTGTCAGTAGACTGTGGTCCTCATTCACTTGATTGTGTCATTGTACTGTGGTCCTGATTCACCTGATAGTGTCAGTATACTGTGGTCCTGATTCACCTGATTGTGTCAGTGTACTGTGACCCTGATTCACTTGAATGTGTCAGTGTACTGTGGTCCTGATCCACCTGATTGTGTCAGTGCACTGTGGTCCTGGTTCACCTGATTGTGTCAGTGTACTGTGGCTTTGATTCACCTGATTGTGTCAGTGCACTGTTGTCCTTATTCACCTGATTTTGTCAGTGTACTGTGGCTTTGATTCACCTGATTGTGTCAGTGTACTAAGACCCTGATTCAACTGATTGTGTCAGAGTATTGTTGCTCTGATTCACCTGATTATGTCAGTGTACTGTGGCCCTGATCCCCAGCTTGTGTCTGTGTACTGTGGCCCTGATTCATCTGATTGTGTCAGTGTACTGTAGCTCTGATTCCCCTGCTTGTGTCAGTGCACTGTGACCCTGATTCACATGATTGTGTCAGTGTACTGTGGTCCTGATTCCCCAGATTGTGTCAGTGTACTGTAGCTCTGATTCCCCTGCTTTGGTCAGTGTACTGTGGCCCTGATTCCCCTGCTTGTGGCAGTGTACTGTAGCCATGAATCACCTGATTGTGTCTGTATACTGTGGCCCTGATTCACCTGATTGTGTCAGTGTAATGTGGTCCTGATTCACCTGATTGTGTCAGTGTACTGTAGCTCTGATTCCCCTGCTTTTGTCAGTGTACTGTGGCCCTGATTCCCCTGCTTGTGGCAGTGTACTGTGGCCATGAATCACCTGATTGTGTCTGTATACTGTGGCCCTGATTCACCTGATGGTGTCAGTAGACTGTGGTCCTGATTCACCTGATTGTGTCAGTGTACTGTGGTCCTGATTCACCTGATTGTGTCAGTGTACTGTGGTCCTGATTCTCCTGATTGTGTCAGTGTACTGTGGCCCTGATTCACCTGATTGTGTAAGTGTAATGTGGTCCTGATTCACCTGAATGTGTCAGTGTACTGTGGTCCTGATTCACCTGATTCTGTCAGTAGACCGTGGTCCTCATTCACTTGATTGTGTCAGTGTACTGTGGTCCTGATTCACCTGATCGTGTCATTATACTGTGGTCCTGATGCAACCGATTGTGTCAGTGTACTGTGACCCTGATTCACCTGATTGTGTCAGTGTACTGTGGTCCTGATCCACCTGATTGTGTCAGTGTACTGGGGCCCTGATTGTGTCAGTGTACTGTGGTCCTGGTTCAACTGATTGTGTCAGTGTACTGTTGTCCTTATTCACATGATTGTGTCAGTGTACTGTGGCTTTGATTCACCTGATTGTGTCAGTGTACTAAGACCCTGATTCACCTGATTGTGTCAGTGTATTGTTGCTCTGATTCACCTGATTGTGTCAGTGTACTGTCACCCTGATTCACTTGATTGTGTCAGTTTACTGTGGCCCTGATTCCCCTGCTTGTGTCTGTGTACTGTGGCCCTGATTCACCTGATTGTGTCAGTGTACTGTAGCTCTGATTCCCCTGCTTGTGGCAGTGTACTCTGGCCCTGATTCCCCTGCTTGTGGCAGTGTACTGTGGCCATGAATCACCTGATTGTGTCTGTATACTGTGGCCCTGATTCACCTGATTGTGCCAGTGTACTGTGACCTGATTCACCTGATTGTGTCAGTGTGCTGTTGTTCTTATTCACCTGCTTGTGGCAGTGTACTCTGGCCCTGATTCCCCTGCTTGTGGCAGTGTACTGTGGCCATGAATCACCTGATTGTGTCAGTGTACTGTGGTCCTGATCCACCTGATTGTGTCAGTGTACTGTTGTCCTTATTCACCTGATTGTGTCAGTGTACTGTGGTCCTGATCCACCTGATTGTGTCAGTAGACTGTGGCCCTGATTGTGTCACTGCACTGTGGTCCTGGTTCACCTGATTGTGTCAGTGTACTGTTGTCCTTATTCACCTGATTGTG